ATTATTACGAACAAACCAATGTTTTTGCGATTCAGGAACGATGCCTCTAAGAAGAGCTATGAGAGATGGGTTGCAGTCTGAAGTGGTAGACCAGTCCGGAAGCGAAGATTTTTTCAATGACGTAGCTGGGGCTATGATGGAGGACTCAAACAGTTCAAAAGAAATTGGTCAGTTTGGTTGCATGAATAGGGTGGCGCTGCAGAGTGAATTTGAGAAATCAGACGAGCTAATGTTTCCACCGATGCACCTTCGGCTGACTGGGTATCGCGGGTGTAAATGAGTAATAACCCCGATAGGGGCTAAGGATGGGCCGAACGGCCGCTCCAAAAAAAGTTGGAGAATCAAAGCCGGAGGCATTTGAACAACCATAAAAGACTTAAAAAGAAATTTCTATCAGAGAAAATCCCTAAGGAATCAACACGGTAGGCCAATGTAAAGGCTTGATCGGTCGCGATGTAAATCGGGCCGACAAAGCGGATTGACTTTCGAGTGAATGAAAATTTCTTAGGCTTTATCAATGGAACGATCTGGATCAGTGTGAAATGTGCCTAAGTGGAATTGACCTCGAGGAAATTCAGTTTAGGCTGGATTAAGAAAGTCTTGAGATGAATCTTGATCCAAGAAAAATCAATTTTTATCGAGTAAAATGGAGTACAGGTAAAAAAAAGTATTCCTCGGATTGAACTGGTACGTGCCGCAGGTAATCGATACGTGTCACGGGTAAGACGGTTGTGTCGCGGTATGAGACGGCACATATCAATACGTGCCGCGAGAAGGTTTCGATCATCACGGGTAAGCACGTTTTCAAAACGAAGGGCCTTTGGTTTGGTCGTGTGTAACACTTTCGTCACGTGGCAAACATGCGCTTGCATGCGCGCATCCCTGTCGGGGCTGAAGGAACCATCATGCCGCGTGCCGATCGACCCAACGGGCAGTAGGTGTCGGTGAGGATTTTGATTGAGATTCTTACCCACTGATTATATTTCTCGACCAACTTTCGAGTCCCTTACCCTAATGCTGCAAAATTTTCCCTATACCCAAAACTTAAAGAAATTCCTTACCACTGATCCATTCTGCGCATAGACAAGGGTAGATAGCGCGGTAAGGTCTAGTTTCTCTCTGATGTTCTCGTGGTTCTAACTTAGAAATCTCAGCGTTCTTCTGAAATCCTTGACAAATTCAATTGTGTTGGTTTTGACCTCCACAATCATTTCTCAATCAAGTATTTCAGGGATGCAAATGATCAAGAGTGTCTTTTGAATGATCAAGAGTTTGTTTTACCACTTCAAACTTATTAATTATCTAAAATTATATGTTCACCGTTGCTTTTGTTCAGTAT